GCACCTCAGTTCACACTTTAAAAGATGTAAGTGATGTTTCTTTCTTACATTCAAATATCTTTATTAATGTTAAGAATGTATTAATCATCATGATTATAGCTTGTATTACTTCATTTCAAAGTTCTCTTTCTAATTCACTATTAAATAGTAGGCTTCATATCTTTTCTGCAACTATTTGATTTGTGCATTTCACTGAGTCATTTGATTGTGATGTGTCAGATGTAGTCATTTCATATGCTATTTCTTTACTCTGACAGTAGATCTTAAGTTCTTGACTTTTGAACTCTTCTTCATCATCTCAGTGTAGAGTTTCAACTCAATATTATGTAGTTATCTCAATACTTATGATGAAATTCATTAATCTTGCAGTAGATTCTTTCTTTCTTATCATAAGAATTATTCATCTATAACAGATTGTATTATTTATTATACTCAATCAGTAGCTTGCACTCTCTCTAGTGAGAGTGTCATTTCTGTTAAAAAGTGTTTTTTCACTCTCTGTCAGATCAATGAAGAATCTCATTACTGGCTTAACAGCTTATATTATAGATATGAAGAGTGAACATGTTATTTTTACCTGTACACAGGTCTTACAGAATGACAAAGCTCTGTCACTCTTTATTCTTATTTCTAGTTATGAATCTGCTGTCATTTTTATGATATTTACAGAATTTAGATGTTCTAGCTTTTAATGTCATTACATCATCATAAGTTCTATAATCTTTGTATCATTTCTTTCAGATAGTGTTAATATTGTGTCATCTTTCACCTGTAATGTGTTTGCAGGTTCAAAATTATTATTAAGTATAGCAAATCAGATCAAGTCTCTGTATATAATCAGCCTTTTCATCTCATAGATATCATTCTCATTTAATCCTCCTGTAAATGAGAATATGTGATTGAGAGATATAATCAACATAGCATGATTATTCTCATATATCAACTGCTTATAGATATAACTCTGATATACAAGCTTACTCATACTCATGAGATTCACTTCTAACTTTGAGACATAGTGAACATTATTTAACAGCATATTCATTTCTTTCACTGAAATCTTCATATCTTCTATAGCTGCAGCAGAGATTATTGTTCTGTCTATCATTTTCAATATCACTTTCATCTTCTGAGGTTTTGTTATAACAAGATTTCTGTGAGATGTGATATAAGCACTCAATTCAGAGTCTAGAATTCAGGTATCTTTTTCTGTCTGATCACTCATATAGGCCTTTTCTTTGATGCAAAATACTTACTCTATGATGTTGTGAATAGAAGCAGCATCTGTATTCTCTGCATTCTTGTCTTTATTCTTGTTTCTATTCATATTGAAGTTTGAAGAACATTTCTCAGAGTATTTCTTTCAACAGTCAGTCTGAATATGATCAATCTTTTGATAATGATAGCAGGTTCTCATATTATTATCTCTACATTCAGATTTAAATTCAGTGTTCTTGTTCTTGTCATTGTCTTTGTCCTTGTCTTTCTTATCCTTGTCTTAGGCGTTATTCACGGGATTTTTCATAAATTCAGTACTACTATTTTTCACAGTAGAAAGGTGTAGAAGTATGTCACAGTATAATCTCATAAAGTCTTCTTCTAAAGGTCTTAAATTGTTCTTATTAATCTGGTTCATTCTATTCTTTATGAAGAATGCTCAATCTCTATTAACTTCTGTCAGTAATCTATTAAAAAATATAACATCTTCAATCTTATATTTCAGATGAATATAATCAGTTCTGATAATAATTAATCATTCAATGAAAGCTCTGTCAGATTCTTTGCTTTTAAAGATTATTTTAATAAGCTCTTTAAATAAATGAGTTCTATGTATAGCAGATCTCTCAGAAAAGTTATTCTCTATAATAGTTTATAGAGTATAAGCTGATAATTTGAACTTCTTAAGTATAGTGAAATAAGTCTTGATCTGCAGAGCAATTGTAGATCATATATAATTATATAATCAAAGATTGTATTCTTTTCAGAAATATTGCATGTTTATAATAATATTCTTATTAAGATTATTATCTTCAAGAATATTATTAGTTTCAGACTGTTCTGCAGTTAAAAGAATTTTCTCTCTTTATATAGAATAGTTAATGAATTCAGTGAGAACTATTGATCTTTTGATAAGTCTTACTTAGCTTCTGAATTCTTCAAGAACTTTTATTATAACAGATATTTTCTCTTTTTATTGAAGATATTCTGTCAGATCTGCTCTTATCTCATTATCTACAGAGTCATCTCTACTAATCTTCATTTGCTCAATCTCATGCTGAAGTCTTGTAATTTCAAGTCTTATATAAGTCTTCTTACTCACTGAGCTATTGTCATTTCAGTCACTTAAGTCTTCTGCATTATCTGATATCTCATTGATATTTTCAACTAAGTCTTTATATATATTGAACTTATCAGACTGTTCTTCTGCAATGATTTTATCTGACTCAAATACCTCTGAAGCTGTCTTCTGATTTATTATTGATGTTAACAGTGATCTGTGATCTTGTATTTACTGCTCTGACATTTTCTCATTTCTTCATCTTGAAGATATATATTCTCTTATTAAGTCAGATATTCTTCCAGATCTTAGATTAACCATGAGTTCAATTAATCAATAAAAAATATCTAGGCATGTGTAATAATATATGAAGATGTAGTTAACATGTTATTACAGTTATTCATTACTTATGAAAGAGCTTCATAATCTCTTGAAGAATAATGTTATGTTGTAATCTAACTACGCGAGTTACACTAAATGAATAGATTGAGGTGGCACGTGACTAGAGTAGATGTAGTAATTATTAACAGCATTTTCTGCAAGTCTCTTTTTAAGTAAGCAGTAGTATTATTAATTAACAAGATCTGAAACATATTAATACTAATTAAATAAGATGATTTTTAACATCTGATAGATATATTAAATGAAGCAGTAGTTAAAATAATAATTATTAACAAGAAATTCTGAATTGACAGTGTTTTTATACAAAACAGATCTCATAACCTGTGAAAGATGTAAAGCTTACTTAATTGAAAAAATTGCTAGCTTGTGAGAAGTTATATGATGAAAGGATTAGTAAGCCAGATCACGTGACCTGACGAAATTATAATCAGAAGTAATACTTTTAAATAATGTAATAACTGAAAAGTTTGATTCTGATCTCAGACACAGTTACATAGTCAGTCTAGACTTGACAGCATGTAAAGCATGTACATAATAATGCATTGAATTGAGATTATTCAAATGTACTGAGAAAATGAAAATTCTCACACACTGAGCAGCAGCGCATGAAATAAGTATATTAATAAATATATAAATTGAAATGAATGTAGAGAAGAGTATAAAGAATGTAAATACAGTAGAGAATATCTGTAGAGGAAAGAATAAAGATCAATATCAGAGCTGTACAGACTGCAGAGCTGGCTGTTCAGATGAATTCATTTTGATAAGATGTACATGATATCATGTGAGGTCATGTTACAGGGCATTTTACTCGGAAAAGTTGGTTCTTCTATAATATATAGAGAGAAGAAGAAGAAGAAGAAGAAGAAGAAGAAGAATAAATGGTGTTTTGCTCCTAATTTTCAGGGGGAGCTTGGAAAATTCTGTTTTCACAAGCATTTTGTCCGCACTAGTGCATGGCTGTACATCCACGCTTCGACGTCATCCGCAAAAGCCCAGACAGTTTTCACCAACTTCCCCATCACCAAACAGACCTCATGCACACTGCACCAAACGCCGCAACCAATGCCCTGAATCTTTCGGCTTCCCCAGTCCAACACCGACTCCTGGACTTAGACTTACACACGGCAACTAAGGGGTCCCATCTCCAATCCCCACGGCAAAAACGGGAGTTCGAAATCTGTTCGAAATCTAAAAAGGGAAAAAAAGAAAATCCTCGGGCTCCGGCCAACATCCATCTAGTTTAGCATATCCGCCTATACCAATTGACATTTGTTACAATGCCCAATATAGATAACACTCCCCTGCCGTCGTCATTTGATGCGCATCCGTATGTACACCACCTGGATACGTTCCCGCCGCCACCCTCCTCCCTCTGCTGAAGTGCATCGTTGATCTATCTAACCCCCAATAATCTCGCAGAGAGTTCTTCCAAGAAACAAAATGGCAGAAAGTCACCCGCCGCCTTAAAGAAGAGCCTCTCATCCCAATAGGTAAAACAACTTCATACCCGTCCCCCGCGAAAAAAAAAGAAAGAAAGGAAAAAGGAAAAAATCCCAAAATTGAAAAAAAGAAGAAAGTCACCCTAACCAAGACATTAACAACACTCACCCCCAGGCTACGCCGCAACCAGCTATGCCCTCTGGCGCGCCTACAAGTCCATGAAAGCCCGCGACTCCGTCGAACTGAACCGCATGTTCCGCGCGCGTATCTACGGACACGCCTTTACGCTCTTCGCCATCGTCGCCGGCGGCATCTACTACGGGCAGGAGCGCAAGCAGCGCAAGGAGTTCGAGAAGGCATTGCAGGAGAAGCAGGATCAGGAGAAGCGGGATGCGTGGTTGAGGGAGCTGGAGGTACGGGATAAGGAGGATAAGGATTGGAGGCAGAGGCATGCTGCAATGGAGATGGCGGCGAAGGAGGCGGAGAAAAAGATGGGTTAGTAGGAAGATATTATTGGGGCGATCTGGGCTGTGAAGATGGGATGGATGTTCAGGGTTTGTCTTGCCTGGTTGCCTTTTGGACTTTGGGCATGTGGGTTTAGGGTTGGAGAGACGCTGGAATCAACCAGTAAGCTTGACAGGTGGCTGGTTGTAGAGGGGAATAGACTGGGCTATGGAAGGCTGCTGGTATCGCTGGAAAGTATACCGTGGTGGGTGCCCTGGCTTGGCCCGATTTTATCACCATATTTTGTATTTTTTTACTACAACTCCCCACCTCCCTAACACTTCTATTTTGTTTTTGTCGGGCTTATCTAGGAGTGATCTAGATTTGTCTCGTTCTTGTTATTTTACTTTGTATATAGGGCTCTTGGATACGGTGCTTCAAATGGAAATACATCTCTTCTTTTTATTATGATTAGTACTATCAGTATTACAGTATTTGTAACTACCATACATTTTCCTCTGACGATCGAGGTACGAAGACCCTAGTCAGTATTGCATGTATAACACACACATCGAGTCAAAATAGATCAATGAGCCATGGTATTCCACCCTTGCTTCCATACTTGCGCATCTTCCCTTTTTCACTTTTACACAAGGCGTTCCTGATCCTAGCGGTGTAGGTTTGGCGAGTGCAGTTTTACATTCAAACATGATAATCATGCCGCCAATTCATCGATATATCGCCGCATGGCATCAAACTCCGTTTTCCCCGTCTAGAAAATCAGCATTCAGCCGTTCTATGCGTTCCGCTTTCGAATACAGGACAGTAACAATACGGGGTGTGTGTACGGCCTGGGAATATAAAGATAAACATACCGAGATTAGGTACCTAATATGAGTCTGGAAAGTATATCCCGGTGGTGGGGAATTTATATTAGTCCCAATATTTGGCATAACAACAAATAACGAAAAGAACCACGAAGGTGCAATCCCCATTCATACCAGATCTGTAACATCTTTACTTCGCTCGAATTCATGCCGAGCAAAAGAGCGCATTTCATCTCTTGCGCTGGATTTGGGAATCCCTATAATCCACAACAGCAAAGGGTGGGAATGATTAGGAGTTGCCGTGTCTTCGTAGAGGGGGAGAAGGGGGAACGGGTGGAGGGGAGGTCGGGCGTACTATTTGTAGCTCGCACAATCTCACGCCAGAGCTCAGTGCTCGCTTTCGTTGAACGAACTATGTGTGTGGGTAAATTGAGGCTCAAGTTAGCGGAAGTTGGTACTCTCTGGATATGTATTTGTGGATAACTAGATGATTCCCCGCGGAGAGGGCGGAATAAAGATAGATGATAGATATGAGAAAACCTACATGCTCGAGGCTGATGGTTTGCTTTCTGGGTCTGCGCGGCGGCTGTCCAGCAGCCGAGAAAAGGCGAGCTGACCAGCGCATGGATGAATATTGGAGGAATTGCGGATTCCGGTTTCTCCGCCATCCAACTTCGGTATATATTCTGAACTTCCAATGTTATTCACAGACGGATTTCCTGGTTGCTCATATGGAGAACAGTGAGAGCGGCAGAATCAAAAGGCGGTGTGGCAAGCACAGTGAGCGCAGATAAATACGCGATTTATCGCGTCGCAAAATTGTCATTTGTTTTTTGATTTCATCCACCCACAAGAAGGAAAGAATTGACTGAAGCCTACATTGACGAGGCTACTATGCTTACGGTATAGTTATTTGTTTTACCTATCAGTATCTATAAGAACAGGAAGCGGGAATGCTCGGCTCGATCAGAGAGGAAGCTATGTCTTTCCTGCGGAGAGTGCGGGATGGTAGAATCGCGAAACCTACAACAGCATTTTCGACCAACGAGAAGCATGCGCTGGCCACGGAGGCTTTAGAAAGGAACGGGATGGAGAAGATCCTCAAAGAAAATAAGAATGGCGTATCGGATAGATGTAGTAAGGAAGTAGTGCTACCGCGGAGAAAACAAGCGTCATGTAAGCCACGATCAAATCTTCATCCTGCTACATACTTTCGTATCTGACCCGCCGGCCGGTTTAACCCAGATGAACCAAAACCTCCAGCAAAAAGGCTACAACTTGTCGAAAGCGTGAATGCCCTCCCACTTAAAGAATTTATGAATCACTGTATCCCGCCCCGAATCCGCGACTTCTCGATATCCATCCCTTGCAAAACACCCACTATCACCGACCAAGAACGCTATGATACTTATTCAATTGAAATACACTCGTCAAGCTCGATACCCAAGGCAGACCTCGAGTCTTGCTTTTTGCTGGTGAAGCTTACCAGCTCCGAGATGTACAAACACTCGACTACAGGCTGGTCACCTTCGAAGAAGAAAAATGAGATGAAACTGCTGGATATGCGCTATATGCTTCTGGTCCGAACCACCACTCCTGGTAGTCCTCAGCCTCCTCCTACTACGGCGACATCGGAACGTCAAAAGGTTTTAGACAAGGAGGTACAAACTTCTCAAATGGGCGGGCGGAAGCTGGGGGGCTTCCTATCGTTCATGGTTACATACGAAGATGAAATTGAAGTACTATATTGCTACGAGATTCACCTTGCGCCGGAGCTACAACACAGGGGGCTGGGGAAGATTTTACTTGGATATTATGAAGAGATAGGACGGAACATCGGGTTGCAGAAGACCATGTTGACGGTTTTCAAAGCCAATGGGCCTGCCATTCGCTTCTATGAACGGCTGGGATACGCGGAAGATGAGTTTTCTCCCAAACCGATGAGACTTAGGAACGGACATATAAGGGAATACGACTATATGATATTATCTAAGGTCATTGACAACACACAGACAACAAAGCATGACACAAATAATATAGATGTTGTCTGGTGAGTGAAAATAAGGCCAGTGGATTTCTTCCCATGGTTGTTGGAGAGCTTGCCAGACACGATGTTATATTTGCTTGGCATATTTCCCTTTCATATCTGGCCGGCTCTTCTCCCACTCATCGCGAAGGACGGCGAATATCGAATCTGCGACGAGGATTGAGAGCCCCAAACTCCAGACTAGGGTTATCGCATAGAAGAAGTTGGCATTGCCCGAACCAGCGTATATCCATAAATGGTGGAATATTGGGCCAAGAAGCGTTGCATATAGCAAGGCGGCAACAGCGAAAAACGTATAACGCATTACTGGGTTCACGTTAGCAAATGTGTCAAAGCAAGGGAGAAGAATGGGTTGGTACGTACACGGGAAAATATGGCGGTATAGGGGTAGAAGCGCAAAGTAGATGGATACGTCAGAAATGCTTGGGTACGGCTTGAAAATCGCAAATATTCCAAGGATCGCGGTGATCACGAAGAGCGGCTGGGTCCTCATCCTAACGGTGAAAGCTCCAAGGTACGATGCCAGATGTAACCAGAAAACACCCAGGAAAAATTCTCGGAACGGATCGAAAATCTCAATCAAGAAATACCACCAAAGACCGGCATTTGGCGTCAAATCAGGCACCAGGAGTTGAACCCCATACGTCGCAGATATGAACTCCCATGAATTACCAGTAATGATATAAGACATGTAGAGGAGTACCATAACACTCGTGGCAAATAGGAGAAAGTATTTTAGTGCATAGGCGAGAGAACTGCCTGTGAACTTGCCTTGTGATACATTTCGGTCGTAGCAGAGCAGAATGAGAGGCGGGTATACGAGAGCAGGATAAAGCGATAGATAGGAAGCGAATCCCAGTGCGAACATGGAATTGAAAGTATTACCCGCAACTGCATTCGAGATCGCATATAGGATTGCGGAATTGGTGAAACTGTTGGTCGATCTGCCCAGACATGTCGCGATTACAAATGGATTGAATAGGTACCTATAGAGGTGTTAGAATTCATTTTTGAGTAGTTCCTCCTACCATGAATCCCCTATCCAAAACATACCCTGCAGCAATTGAAACTCCATCCCATTTAATATGTTTCCGTGGGGACATGTAAAGTCGAGACACAACGGATTCAGCGGAGTTCGATATGCTAATCAAAGCCGCGGCATTCAGAAGGTCGAGGAGAATGTATACCAGACCGGTGAGGAGAGGATGGCTAGCAGACCGGGGGAGGAGAACAAATATCGGTAGAAGAATCGGGGCCTTGTGCAAGAGCATATTAGATCGTTGCGCCTTGTGTTAGGTCCATACGTTGAGATGTTCAGTATATACCTGGTGATACACTCCGCCGTCATAGGGGCTGACGTTTCGAGTGTATAGAAAGACACCTTCTTGGACTTTCGAGCGACCACAACACACATCAGCAATCAAGAATGTGTCGCATTTATGAAGGAGCACAGTTTCAACTCACGCCTCTTAAAGCTGCTGACCGGTGTAGAAACTTCCACTCGACCCGTCAGAAGGTCTGGGAGCGTCGGGAAAAGTGTAAATAGAAGAACGCGGAGAGCGATTGCGCCCCCGAACACGCACAGTTTTCTTCTATCGACCGGCATCATGAATAGAAATTGCGAAAGAAGCTCATGATATTAGGGTAGTAAACAAAAACGCCTGTAATTGGGATGAACGAGCGTTGGCTACAACTAAGAAATCATTTGACTGTTGTTCATATATATCTATCTCCCCACGTATCAACTTTCCATCGCGCGGTTATTTAGCGGCTGTTGACGCACGGGCCACATCGAGCTTTTCTCCGACTGGCGGCACAAGTTTATCTTGGGAGAGTAAACTTTTTTTTCCCTCAAAACACCTAATATCCAACACTGAAATTCGTAAGGCTTTGCTGCAATTTGAGACAATTCTGACCTGAAAAATGGGGAAAATAAAGAAGAAAGGTATGGAATTCCCATTGTACGGGTATTACGGCTGAGGGTAGTTTGCTAACGCTATTTTATTCATTCTACAGGCACCTCTGGCCAGGCGAAAAATTTCATCACCAGAACTCAGGCAGTGCGCAAGCTGCAGATTTCTCTCCCTGATTTCCGCAGATTATGTATTTTCAAGGGTGAGGGAGATTATTTCTTTCTTCTGTTTTATTACAATGTCTAATTCGATTTATACTAGGTATCTATCCCCGTGAGCCTCGAAACAAGAAAAAAGCTTCGAAATCCGCTACCCCGAGCACCACCTTCTATTACACAAGAGATATTCAGTATCTTCTTCATGAACCTTTGCTTAAGAAATTCCGGGAGCAAAAGGCCCTTGCCAAGAAGATTGCTAGGGCTCTCGGCCGTGGAGAAGTTGGAAGTGCCGCAAGACTCGAAAAGAATAATGCACCAAAGCTCTCGCTGGATCATATTATCAAGGAACGGTATCCGACATTTATAGATGCACTTCGGGATTTGGATGATGCTTTATCGCTTCTCTTTTTGTTTGCCAATCTCCCCTCAACGACCACTGTGCCGCCTAAGACTATTACTCTCTGCCAGCGCCTATGTCATGAGTTCCAACATTACTTGATCGCCACTAATTCTCTCCGAAAATCCTTCCTCTCAATTAAAGGAATATACTATCAAGCTACAATTCAAGGGCAGGATATAATGTGGCTGGTGCCTTATCGATTTGTCCAAAGAGTTACTGGGGATGTGGACTATCGAATTATGGGCACCTTCGTAGAGTTTTACACTACTCTGCTTGGTTTCGTCAACCATAGACTCTACACTACGATCGGCTTGGTTTACCCACCCAAGTTTGATAAGTCGAGCGATGAACGTGGTGCTGAACTCGCAGCCTTCACCTTGGAAGGCCGAAATTTTGGCGAAACACAGAAGGCTGTTGAGGGTTCTCAGCAGCTGAATGGGAGCACTGAGAAAGAAGCGCCTGCATCAAAGGACCTTCAGGCTAAGGTCGACAACATACTCGAAAAGACTAAGCTCGATACGGAGCCTACTGGGCAAGCGACCGAAGCCCAGGAGGAAAATACCGATGCCATCGACACGTTTGAGCCAATCGCACCTGAAGCTGATACCTTACCACAACCACAAATCAGTGGAGATGAAGCCGGCTCGTTATTTGCTCCATTCACCTTCTATATCTCCCGAGAGGCTCCCAGAGCACCTCTCGAGTTCTTGCTTCGTTCTTTTGGGTGCAAGCGTATTGGATGGGATAGCGTTCTTGGAGATGGCGCATTTACACAGAACGAGTTAGATCCTCGCATAACACACCAAATCGTTGACCGCCCCCAACTTCCTGAATCTGCACTCCCCCTGTTACCCAAAAACCCCGAAGATGGAACTGCCGCTTTGAGGGTAAGACCAGGGACCAGGGTCCCTGGCCGGACGTATGTTCAACCTCAATGGGTGTGGGATTGCATCAACGAAGGAAGGCTTCTGCGACCTGACCTTTATGCACCTGGCGCTACATTGCCACCACATCTGAGTCCCTGGGTCAAACCTTCCAAGGGTGGCTACGACCCGAGAGCCAGCCTCGCTGATCAAGAGGAAGAAGGAGAGGCTGAAAGAGCTGCTGAAGCCGAAGAGTACGATGACGATGAGCTCGAGGAGAGTGAGGATGAAGCTCCTAAATCAAAACAGAGCAAAAAATTGCTTGCTACGCTGGCACGTGACTCGGACGATGAAGAAGCGTCGATTAATGGCGGAATGGACATTGCTATGGCAGAAGACACGGACGAAAGCAGCGATGATGGCGATGATGCAGATGAATTCGAAGGGTTCGACCAGGACGAAGACATGAGTTCCGAGTCAGAAGACGAAGAAGAGAAAGCTCGCTCGCAACACCAGAAGGAACTTGAAGCCGAGGCTGCTGGCCTTCCATTCTCGGCCGCTAGCCAAGCTGATAATGGAGCTGCTAAGAGCGAAAAGCAACAAGGACCTTTAGCTAAGAAACGAGCGGCCCAGAAGAAGAAGGAAGAGGAGGAGCTTGAACGTCAAAAGATGATGATGAGTCGCAAGAAGCGCAAGCTGCTCGATAAGATGATTTACTCGAATAAGAAGCAGGATGCGGAAGCGGAGAAGTTGAGACAGAAGCGAAGAAAGATTGAGCAGAGTCTTAAGAAGTAAACGAAAAAATGTTTTTTGGGTTGCGTTTGGATTTAATATGTAGTTTTTGTGGCTCTTCGTTTTTTTATGATATCTGAGAACTGGCAAATGTTGAGGCTGCCACAACAGGCAATTTGCGTGGACATCGATGGGAACACTTTGTTTGGAGTCCGAGCTAAGCTATTTGCAGTCTACCTAAAATATCATAAGCTAATAAAACGTGTTTTGAATAACTCATAGTTTCGGGACATTCGACTCTGCCAAGCCGGCTTGCCGAAAAAATATATAATCACGTGACTCGTTTCTCGCACGTTGAAACGCAGCGACATCAGGAAAAGACACTCTAAAACTTGTATAACTAGTCTTCAGATAGGGCTCTTAGTCCTTCTCCGCTACTTTTTCCCCTTTATATGTCTCGAAAAAAAACGTCTTATCATTTTTTTTGGTCCAAATACTCGACTCCTTTTGCAACCAGGCCGCGAGACATTACCGATCACGCTGTCTCAACGTCAAATATGGACTGTCACTACTTGCCCTCACCCTCCTCATCCATATCTAACCAGGAAATTTTGATTTCCTCTTTTAGCTAAGGCGAAAATGTCAATGCTGAGTTCTCAATGGGTGGATTCACAATCCTCACCCGTAAGCCCATCATCATATCATCAAGTTCGGGAGGATCCGTCAAATATGCCAGTAGAGGCAGATTCTCTGGAATACGAAGTGGACATGATTGCTGAGCAACAATTTCCGCAAGTAGAAACTTCTGATGATGGAACTTACGTCACCAAAGATAGCGATATCTCACAACCGGACAGTAATTCAAATGCACAGGAGGAAGATCAACCAACTATGGAAGGGGATGACTACGATTCATCAGGAGATTCCCCTATACCGGAAAGACCAAACAGATACCTTGGCCCTCCATCAACATGGCGTGCGAAGACGCGACAGGAAAGGAACGAAATAAGTTCTTTGGAAGCGCTCCGTGCCAGAGATCTATCTGTTCATCTATTCAACGCGTTCGCACTCAAAAGGAGAGCGATAGCAATCAAGGCTCAAAAGCCAGAGCAAGATCAAAAGCAACGGTCTAACGACGAAGAAGACGGGTGGCTATCGTCGAAATTCATGCCGACGAAGCAGTGGACTGCATGGCCTCTACATGCAGACGAGGTGCCAAGAGGAGATTCACATGTACTGAAAGACGACTCTGACATCTGGAATGTGGCCGGTCCATCCGACGGACGTCCTAGTGCAGAGCTAGAAGAGTGCCTCATGGCCCAGATGTTGAAAACTGCTAAGGAAAGGTTCGAAGCGCGAGCGTGGGACAACAGAAGGCCTCGTGCTCGCCAGAGGTCCAAAGGAATGGCTTCTACAACTGATACGGGGGGTGCCATAAGCACGGGTATGGAAGAATCTGATGACGATGTTGGCATACATGCAGAACCTCAACTCCGGCCGGTCGTCCAGGCGGATGATGACAAGTCGAGATCGATACTCCGGCCAACAGCACGGCACATTCTCAGCGACTTTGATAATATCCTTATGAGCTTACATCACGCCCGACAAGCCTATGTCTCAACTATAGATTTATCTCAGAGCGAACATGAAACGGAAGCTCAGGAGGAGTTAACTTTGAGACCCGTGTCAAGATCGCGCGCTGTATCGCTCAGCAGCATGTCGGGCTCCCGAAGAATAAAACGATCACGCCATTTGTCTTTGAGCAGGGACCCTCCCGCTACATCGGACCATGAAGGAAACATCGAACTATCCGATGCGTCTAATCGTAAATCACGTGTGTCGAATCGCCAACGGACAAGGTCGGGTACTCCTCGGCGCTCCCGCAGCCGATCTCCTGGTTCTAGAGAATCCAAATTGGGCCTACGGGATTGGAGTGATATTGTTGGTATTGCTTCAATCTCCGGGTGGCCAGCATCGGTTGTTATGCGAACGGCGAAGCGCTGCTCCGAACTATTTAAGGAAGATATGGCATTCAGAAAGCTAAACGAAGGCCAACTGGAACTAAACGAAGGGAATGAAAATGGCTTGCCTACGTGGGACTATGTTGAGGAGGAAGGATCGGGGGAGTCTAGATCAGATTTTGAAATTCATAACATTACCAGCCGTTCCCGGAAAAGAGGACAGGGCTACGGTTGGGAGATTAACTGTCCCGTGAAAGGCTGTTCTCGCTCGACGAAAGGGTTTTCAAGGACTTGGAACTTAAACCAGCACATAAAAAATAAACATCCTAGTCTTGCCCTTAAAGGTCGTCCAAGCAAGTCCGCACCGCTAACTAAAGAATCTAAGTGAGAGACGGAATACTATTGTGCTATCTAGTCCATTCGTGTGACTATCGGAGTTTGAAAACCAAATCAGGCCAACGAAGACTGAGGGCCACATAATCATAATCGCATTACCCAGACGTATTAAATACAACGAAGCAATGGTATCAGATCTGATACGCCCCCCTCCCCGCCTCCCCGGAAAAGATATCGATGTTTATTAAGCAGGAATACAAGGTCGTGGATAATTGTTGTTTGTCGTGAACGACGCGCACTGAGCTTTTGTAATTTTTATGTTTCCTTTGGTCGCATTTGAGTCCTCACTGCCCCTGAGCCTCCCAAACCTCCTCCCCGAGCACTCTCAGCTCCTTATCTGGGATAAGGATATCGGCTTCTACTGATGTTGACGGGTGGCGAAGCATCACCCTATCAAACGGCAATCTCAGCGGTGCGCCCGTGGTGATTACCGATCCATCCGCTTGTCTAACAATGCTGGCCTCTTGCATGAATTTGGTAACCCTTCTATGCGGGTCTGTTCTGGTCGGGTGATCGACGGCCTCCCACCTTCAGATGGCAATCCCTCTTGTCGCCATTCTGAATTGGAATAGTCAGCGCAATCTTCACATCTCCATCTAAATTTTCCAGCCACCAACGCGCATCGGCATCAACCTGACTCTGGCCCTCTGAATCTGCAACCTCCACAACCATGCTTGGCGATTGAGTCGTTCTACCAGCTGGCAGGGTGCGTGGACTATTAGAGCAATCCGGTTGCTTGTCTCTCTGTGGGCCGCGGACTCTGGCGCTGCCTTGCAGGCCCAGTTCCCTCTCAAGGCCCATTGATTTGATGGAATTTTCTAACATCCTTTCAAATACCCGACTGGCTTTCATGCGGAAGTTATACCAATTTTTGGACGAGAATTTTGAGAGGCCCCATTCTGTGATATGATTGGTTAAAAAAATGCACACCACACGTGACCGCCCATAGAGGAAGCTGCAATGGCCTGTACTCAGTTCTTCTTTATTATTAATCTCCACAAGATGTCTGTTTATTTGCTTGCTTGTTTATACTGTTTGTACTGTTTGTTTTGCTTTGTGATGCCTGGTTGTTTGGTGTATATTTTGTTGGGTCTCGGGTTGATCGGCCCTTCTACGAGCAGTGCGCTGGTGGTGACTGAGCTCTTTTGCCCCAGTAGCCTACATATTTGTGTGGCAGCATGTGAGGCCCTACCGGGCCTCGCTTAAGATAACTACCTAATTAGACTAAGATCTAGACCAGTTGCATAGCGCCTGTACGGGATGCAGATACCAACTTAAAGATGTAATCAATCAATCAATCAATCAACCAAGTGGATTCCTTGCAAGCTATAGCAATCAAGCGAGAACCCAGCGCATTTAGGCTCTGCACAGGTGGGAAGAAGTTGTATTAAGTCCGCTGTAAATATCTTGGTGATCCAATAGCCCCCTCGGACGTACGGAAGGAATCACGTAGGGCCCCAACTCATCGATTTCAACTAGACGGCGTAGCATCCTCAGTAGAAGCAAGAAGCAAACAAAAGACTTGAAAGAAGTTACAACCATGAATTGCTAGAGGCCTATTCAACATTCCTCCATATATCTTTCTTAAAATCAACATCGGTGGCAAGTTGAATGCAATATCAATTGAGCTCCTAGGCCGGAATGAAATATGAAAAGCACACAAAATTTAAATTATATCAAGTACGGAGTATATTGTCCAATCATAGGATGATTCACCCAAACATCCAACCCTCTCAATATCATTAATTCTCAAGGACATGCTCATTAACTAAGGCCTCAATGACTTCAGTCATCCATTCCTGGCAGCATGTGATAGGCTCTTGAGAATAGAGCCGCTGAGGACTCTTGAACTGCTTTTTTGGTGCAGGAATTGCCTCACAGATTCCCTTGATGTGAGAGAGGTTTGCTGCTGACACCTTTTCAACAAAGACCTTGCTTTGAAAACTCGCTGACTCCTCTGGCTTCTTGCCGGGTTTATCCTCAAAAGTCATTCCATTTTGAATATTGCCCGCCACTTGGAAAAGATGGCCAGATTGATCGTCATTTGTTAACCCGATAGACCTCGGAAGACATTTCGGCGGGAGACTTCCCTTTGTCCTGTAAGTAAGGAACCAAGAATTGTAGGAATGGGGGAATCACTGCTCTCTTTTTTGACCTATTTGTCGCGTTTTTGCACCTAGCGAAGTTACTTCTGTAGTTTCGTCTATGGTATCGAAATCGGAAGCAGATTCAAACTTCTTGAGGGGACGTGTAGCAATATTTTGGACGGAAGCAGTGGATGATTTCCCACGCTCAAAAGGTGGGTGAGTCGATGCTTTTATTGTGGACACACAGCCCAACTACACTATCCCATTCTCTTATCGTCACCATCCAATAACCATGGACAGCTCGGTCAAATTGCCATACTATGCAACAGATGTCCCTCTCCCTCTCCCGACAGAAGCTGAAATTGAGAACGCACTGAATATATCTCCGGAGTATGAAGGGTGATGGGTTTTCCAGGTCAGATGCCATTACATTGTGAAGTTCGGGAAGGGCGTCAATCTTGTTGAAGGAGAGAACATGCTATTTGTTCGGGAAATGACAAAGGTCCCTGTGCCTCGAGTTTATGCTCTCTACTCAAACCCACAAATAGGCAAAAACTACATTGTCATGGAACATATTGCTCGTGAGACACTTGCAAAACTGTGGGCAAGTTTGACAGGTGCAGAAAAGGAATCTATTGTTGCAAAACTGCACAGTTATAATACTACAAGGAGCTACACCAGTTGCCATCACCAGGTTACTATGAGCATAGACAAACAAACCCTTCTTGATGAGATATTTTGGACACAGCACACAGAAGCTATGATCAATAGTCCATTCATCACTGAAGCCGCGCTCAACAAAGCGATGGCGTGGAAATACACTCATGACAGCCGGCCTCATTACAAGGCAGATTTTTACTGTCAATGTCTGCCACACATTTTCTGTGGCCACAAGCTGATGTTTACTCATGGTGACTGTCAACACAAAAATATTATGATTCAGAGTGACCCCCAGCGGATGACTGCCAATAATCGCACTTTGGAGATTGTCATTCTTGATTGGGAGAAGTCTGGTTGGTATCCAAGTTACTGGGAGTACTGTCTAGCTGTTTGTGCATTATGTTGGGATGATGACTGGGGCCTCTGGATTGAGAAAATGCTAGATCTGTTTATATCTGAAGTTTCCTGGCTGCAAATTCTACGCCTAGAATTGTGGTCCTAGGACAGTTACGTTTTCAAATGGCTCTCAGAGGTTGACTGCTCGAGATCAGGATGGAGTACCTTGTCTATGGATTTGACTGTTTAAAGATATTTGATAGTTTTATCAATTAATTTCCTTCTCCAGGCTATGCGTCTGGCTATATTTTGGGCACTCATGTGGCTCCATTGGATACTTCTTCTCAAGGGACAGGATTGAATTGCATACACAGCCCGGCGGACATCCAGAACAATCTATGGAAATACAATGACCTTAAGACTACGGTTATAGGAGCTCAAGAGCAATTCCCAACTAAGAAGTGAGCCTCATGGTGGGACATATCAACGGGGTCGTCTGAAATAGGGCCGGGGTTATAAGTTAAGCACAGCTGCCCCATTACCCCCTCAGTAGCTTAGCCATACGAGGCCACGCTTCTTGCAAAGTAGAAGGGATTATTTCTGCCACGTTTGAGTTTTTGACGACCCTGCACCAGTCCGCAACTCCCTCATTCCAGCGCCACTGGAAAGTTTCAGGCTATACTCAATAATTTTCAATTACTCTTCATGGGAACTAGACATCCGAAAAATTGTGTTTCAAAGATCTTCAGAGAACAGTCTATCATCACAAACAAGACTGAATGAAAGTTTGTTTCTTTATTAAAACATGAAAAGTTTCAAACTAGGAAAGCTAGCCATACATCCTATGTGAAGACATTGGAAGGCACAATTTGCTGCCGGACTCATTATTTCCTGCATTCTGAAAGATAGGGGATATTTCCTCTAGGGATGACATTTGGCATGACCAGGCCATTGATACTCTGAAGGATAGGGGATATACTTTCCCTAGGGATGACATATAGAATCCTTGCCTTATTTAATCATGGCCGGGCCATGTTATTTTCCCAAGAATGGAACAGGCCATGGCGCGATGCCGCAGATTTTTGAAATTTGCTTGTGACGTAGAACACTTTTGTTCTATAGGCATTGATAATTCTCCGTCTCTCCTTGGTGCCTCTCATATTTTGTGCCGGTTCTCATTAGTTCCCTGGGTACCGCTCCCGCTATAAGAGTGTTGTGCACAAGAAAGTGCAGAAGCATGGCAGGAAGATCCTCTCCCGGAGTGTCCTGCATAGAACTGGCTACTATGGCCTCAGAGGCCATGGGATCTTGTGAGTCCCCCCCCCCCCTCAAAAAAAAACCCGTGAACTCACCGAGGCACATCTTCACTGACCTTCCCTCTAGCTCAGAGCATGTCGTGTCTCACTTTAAAGATGCCATCGACTCACTGGCCGGCATTGATAGCGTGGTTTCGAAGTATGGTACCGTTGTGTATGCCCAGGTCTTGGTTCCTGAACCGCTGGAGATGTTGGTCCGGGAGGACATGGGAGTCGATGCCAAAGGGGCCCGCCGGATTCTGAAGGAGAGCAACAAGATGGGGAATTTGCTTAATCTTGAGTGAATCAGGCGAAGTGCTTCCAGCTTCAATTTTGAGATGCACAACTTCGTACTAGGCATAGATTTATGTGTGGAACGGTGATGACCACTCTTTCCAACAAAAGTTAACTGATTAAACCCGCTATTCCTGGTTAGAGTGGGAATCCACGGCCACTTTTCATGGTTGATTAGAGCCCTGGAGAAATTGTAAGAGCGGATCTTCAATGTACAATTATAAAGAATGAAATCTATATGATTTAGCCATCAAAGAGTCTTTATCAAGTCACTAAAGATTTGCTAGCCTGTTAATATTATGAATAAGGGCCTGTTCAGTGCGTCCGTACTTTTTGAACGCAATAGTGGATCTCATTAAAAATAGTGTATTTACCAAATTCGTAGCAAGCCGGCGTTGTGCCACCACACTATTCCTGTGGAAGGTGTAAAGCTTGTGTGATTGAAAGGTTGCTAGCTTTGTGGGAAGTTATATGGTGGAAGGATTAGTAAGCCAGATCACGTGACCTGACACCCCCACTCACCAGAGTAACTATACACGATGCTATATACAAAGTTCGCCTTCAAATCAAGTACAGGTATAAAAAATGACTGGAAAATGTGAAGTAATGAAAAACCAGTCATGATATACATCATTTTTTATCCCCCTATCCCCCTATCTTCTTTATATTCTCTTTCCAATGTGTATATTTCAATGTTCCAAGTGATTTAGTAAGCCCATCCGCCGCGTTCTCAGCAGATGGAACATATTGGATAGATATCTTGTTTTTGCAGACAAGATCCTGAAGGATGTGGAAATGGACCTCTATATGCTTCAAGCGGCGTGGAATTGCTTCGGAAGAGGATAGCTCTATGGCAGACTTATTATTGGCATGGATCGTATAAGCCAGATCATTGGCTGTGGTGGGAATGGGGTGATCATCGGCATCCAGATTGTTGAGGCGGGATGGGATGAATCCAGCGTCTTCTAGAAGCTCTCAGAGACAGACAAGCTCATATGCGGCCTTGGAGGATGCAATATATTCGGCCTCTGTTGATGACTTGGAGACCCCTGTTTACCGGCAGCTCCGCCATGCAACGGGACCACCTGCCATGTAGATGATATAACCGGTGGTTGAATGGGATCCTGGATCCCTACCGGCTCAATCGGCATCTGCGTATGCTACAGGTTCAATTTCAGCATCTCTGTGATAGGTTATACCCTCATTGATTGAACCCTGTAGATAATGGAGCATATGCTTGTATACAGCCCAGTTCTTTGATATAGACTGGGAGCTGAATCATTCAAGGAATCCTGCAGTGAAGCTCATATCAGGACATGTATTGAATGCCAGATATTACAGGGATTTGATACTGGATTGATAGAACTGTAGGATAAATTCTGCTGTGTATGCAATCAGTTCCTCATCATTATTCATGAAATCAACATTCTCCTTCATAGAAGTGAATGTAGAATGACAGTCATTCATTAAGAACTTCTTCAGAAGATTCCTTATAAAGAGGAATTGAAACAATATCAATGAAGTTAAATCTCTATCAATTTTCATTTCTAGATAGTGATTGAAATCCTCTACATTCTTGATCTCATAATTAGCAGTGATTTCAGCTCTGGCCCAGTTCAGATCTTTGATTTTCAGACTGTAGAGATGGACATTATTCATATAGATGATTATATAGACCTGTCTTTTATTATGAATAAATAGTTCAGCATTATAGAGACTGACATGAAAGTCTGAGTATAATAGCATCTTTCACAGCTTCTCATATCATAAGAGTGCTGCCTGCTTAAGACTGTAGAGTCTCTGCATCAACTTATACACAAGATTATCACAGTCTTCACAGAATTCTGTGAGTTAATTCATATATATCTGTTCATCAGCAGACAGTTGAGTATTTAAAAATACAGTCATCATATCAATCTGCAGAACATATTATCTCTGAGATACTGAGATCATTATAAGAGCTTGTGAGATGAATGCAGAGACAACAGATGCAAAGATTCTTAAGTAATTGACTCTCTTCTATTAAAGATTTCTGCAGACAATTCAGCAGGTCTTATAGTAAATAACATCACTCATATTATTGAACTTTTTATCAAATACTCATTAGTCACAGAGAACACTCATTTATAATATTCTCTCAATCAGTTATCAGATCTCTATCTATTTCAAATAATTGATCTCTTTAATACAGATCTTGTAATAATACTTTCATTTCATGAAAGCTTTAACATATGTAAGGTTTTTTGAGATCAGAAGTGCAGTGATCTTGAAATCAGTGAGTAGATTTTTAAGACTGTCTCTCACTGAAGCTTTTCTCACTGTAGTGATATTTCTTATAGATGTTGAAGAATCATTCAATTCAACTGTGAGTTCTGAGAAGTTCAGTGTATTCTGCACTAAAAAAGTAGGTATTCTCACAGAGATATCATAGTCAATTCATCAATTATTAGTGAGTATGAGAAATAATAGACACTCAGATCAGATTTTCTTATTAATAAATAGATTAGAAATTGCTGCAGTCTCTTGACAGACTGCAGTGAGTAGATCTGATATTACTGAAGAAATCATCACAGTCACTTTACAGACTGTGTTGAGTAGAACCTTTGAGTTGTGTGTTGTAGTCAGTATCAATGAATTAGCAAGATAAAGGTTCTTCTGAAAGATGATATCTTTTGAAATGTATAAACACTCATTGAAGAGGTTTATTAATCTATAATTGATAAAATTATTATAACTCACAAAAATCAACTCTTTGAAATAAGAAGTCATTTTATTAATGAGCTTGAGAACTATCTTCAAGAATGCTTTGCAACCTCATCAGTGAATACTATGTACAGAGAGTAGAGCTTCAAGCCAGGTCTTATATAATGTAATCAGCTTTGTATTTTCAGAGCTCTTATACAATATTGTTGAGATTGATATAAGATTAAGCAGCTCTGTAGCTGTAATAACTGTCTTATCTCACATCTTTTCTGAAGCTGAAGAGTCTATTAATAGTGATTGAAACTTCTCAATGATTAAACTGATTAATTGTTTGAATACTTCATCTTACTGTGAAGTATGAGAGAGAGTTGACTCTTATTTTATATCTTCACTGAGCATATATATTATGACTGCATTTGAATTCAATTCTTCATAATCTGAGTGAATGATTGTAATGTCACATCTCAGCAGATTCTTGATAAATTGATTGAAGATCTGTAGATATCTCAACATCTTATTCTTGCATTTCAATAGAAATATTCACCTCATACAGATGACATTATCTGTTATCATCATTGCAAGCTTCTTATCAGTGTAAGATAATATATTATTCTCAGTTTCAAGAGTCTCATCATCACTGAAGATATTCACTCAAATCTTCAAGATCTTGCAGGTGACATGATGTGGTGTGAAATTCTTGTAGAAAGTATGTTTCTGTTTAGACTTAACATATATAACACAGAATGATAATTTCTTCAGACTGATAATGATAATATTAAATCACAGGTTTCTGATCATTTTTAATATACTATTTTCACTGATATGATCAAGTTGATGATGTCACTCATCTATTGAAAGCTGTTTTAAAAGGACTGCAGATAATCAAGATGAAGATGAGATAATAAAGAAATCAGTATCTGAATTCTTAGAGTTGATTAACTGTTCAACCTTCTCACAGCTGAAAGATCTCAAAGACTCAGCACTCAGATTGTAATCTGTTGAGATTGTCTTTGATTTCAGAACAGCTATATATGTTACTACTTTATACATTGAGTCATTCATTATCTCATGAAATGTCAGTGAGATGTCAGATAGAATGTAAATATTATTATAAGACAGATTGATGTAGAAGATTTCACTGTTAATAAATGACAGAAACTCAAAGTAGTTCTCAGCATTAACTTGCATATCATGGTAAATATAGCTCTGATATTTTATCAGCTTAGCAGAGATCAGATTTGCAGATAGTTCTGACACATAGTATATATAATTGAATTCTATCAATCTTTCACTTATCAGAATGAATACAGTGCTGACACTCTGAACCTTTATAATAATCTTATTAATCACTTGAACTATTGAATCATTGATTGCTATAAGTTCTGAAAATTGTGATCTATCACTCACTATGTGGTATTCAGTGTCACTATCTCATATAGTGAGAGAATTCTTGTGAGGTTTCATGAAACAGACTGACACATTGATAATCTCTGTGAGATTTGTCATCTGATAGATCTCTGATTCATCTGTAATAAATAGTTGAGTTCTACTCTCACTATTGTTCTTTTTCTTCTTTTCCTTGAATTTCTTTATTCTTGCAGCATTGTTTATTCTTCAATTATTCAGAGCACTGTCTGAATTGATCAATTAACAGGTGTCAAAGTGAGATCTCTCACAATCAGAATATGTAGATGAATTTCTTGATCTCTGATGATTTTAAGAGCTCTCTTGTGAACTGCTATGATCATATTCAGTACAGTCTTCACAGGCCGGATTTGATGTATTGTTGTTTAAATTGATAGATGTAATGATTGTTGTATCTGTTATAGCTGTTATAGCTGTGTTAGCTGCAGAATCTATATTCTGCAGATTCTTTTTATCTTTTGAAGAATCAAGCCATGAACAGATCTTCTTCATGAGAAGATCAATATTCAATATCACAGCTGTGAATTTGAAATTCTGTATCTTCTCTATCTTCTTCTGAACATAATTTCTTCAATTGTTGAGTAGAACTGAGTAGAAGATATTAAATATTCATGAATCTAAGAGGAAAGTATTCAACATCTTCAATTTCATGATGATGAATCAGAACTTATTAAAGAATGTGTGTAGATTGATGATCTGTGTGTCACTAAGAGACATGAATTTCAGAACTGTCTCATGATGTAACTGTGTTTTGAGAACAGAGTATTTCTGTTCAATTGCATTTCATAGAGTATAAGTAATCTGATTTTCATCATACTTGAAGAAATGTGGTCTGATACCTGCACTCAAGAAGTTCAAGATGAATATGTAGAGTCACTGATTTCTGACATCTCAGAATAATGCTCATTCATCATCTCTTTATAGAGAATTCTGAGTCTGTTGTTTCTCTATCATATATCAGCACTGTGCATTAATCAGTTTTGATTTCATGAAGATGCTTCATGTGATGTAATTAAATGTATCAGTCAGACTGTTTAATCTCACAGTATTCTTGACATCTTTCTTGAATTAGAAGATTGTCTTGTCAACACAGCTATTCAGTTTATAAAGGTTGAATTTCAATCTTTCACTGAGATTAGAATTTCATGTAACTGTTGATATAATGACAGAATGATTATTAACATTCTGTGATCAATCTGTGAAGAATGAGAATCTCTGTTGACAGAGTTTTTTCAGTTGTAGTTCAAGTTCTAAGACTCTTTGCTTTCTCTTGTTCATCTCAAGTATTATCTTGAGATGCTCTATCTGTTGATCTGATATTATCTTACTTAAACAGTAGATATCTGAGTGTTCAATATTCTTATCAAGAGAACCAGCTTCATTAAGCTGTTGAGTAGATTAGAAGGTCAGCCTGACTGTGTTAGAAGCTGTATTCAAACCAGCTTTAAATTGAGAGAGTGTTTCAGAGCATTCTTCAATGAAGCTTTCAAAGACTTTAGAAGAATGTTCACTGATAGTAGACTGATCATGTGACCGTGTCTGAGATCAGGATCAAACTTTACAGTTGTTACATTGTCTAAAAGCATTACTTCTGATCATGATTTGTGTTCATCACATTGATTTCAAATCATGTTATTTCAAATATTAAAGATTTCAGATTCACTTTTCAAATAAAAATCTAGTTCTGAATAAAGAATATGTTTGAATTCTTAGTCACATTTTCATTCTGATCTCATTATTGAGAATGGCATCAAATGAGACTATGAAATCACTTCTCACTTACATAATATCATAACATAGTACTCATTTATTGAAAATTCAACAGAGAGTGTTATCAAATATTGTTACTTTTCTGAATACAGATCATAATTCATATAATTTTAATTATAAAAAAAACATAAAATACAAAAAAAAACAAAAAACAAAAAACAAAACAAATATAAGAAAAAATCATATTAAAAAAAAAAAAAAAGAAAAGAAAAAGAAAAAAATAAAAAATAAAAATAAAAAAAATCAAGATCACAGAGTCACAGCACTCTTAAAATACTCACTTCTCAGAGTCTTTGCAATATTCATTATCAACTGTGTATTTCTCACAGTGAGAGTAACACAGCTGTGATGAGTCATTGTCTTAATATCATCTAATAAATAATCAGTATATATCTGTATAAATGTGAATAATTAGAAAATATACACTTAAAAAGTGTGATCAGAGTGAACTCTGCTGTCACTTAAATAATATCAAGAGCAGAATGCTGAAATCAATGATTTCTCTCATTAATTTCACAGATAAGGCATGTGAAGATAATCTTGAGAAATATAAGATTCTCTGACTTCTGATAAAAATGAATCTCATGAAGAGACTCTATTTTCATGATATCAGAGACTGAGTGTTATTAAAAAGTATTACTTTCATGCAATGTATATACACTTACTGCAGTGATTCACTCTCTGTGTATGTGACTGAGAGTTACAGCTTTTCTACACTGCACAGCTCTTTCTGAAATGCTGCTGTCAGTTTGTAACTCACACAGTCTCTCAGTTCAGCACATGCTGTGTGTATGCAGTTCTGCATGCTGAGGCTGTGTTGATCATTATGACCTGATATAGTACTCACTTTTCACAAGTTATGTTTCATTTGAGAAGAAGAGAGAAAGACACAACTGTTGTTTTATTAAGAGAGAGATAGATAATTAATATTATTAAATTAATTTAATTCATCTGTATTTAAAATTTGATTAATTTATACTCTTCAATTTGAGAGTTTCTATGAGTGTTTTAATAGTTTTCATACCAGCTTGAACTTAGTGATGAGTTGAAGAAGAAGAGAAAAGAGAGAAGAAAGAAATGAGAATAACTTATCTTTATAATATGAAAACAGAGAATTGCTGCAATCATTCTCTCTAGTAACAAAGATCTGTTTTCTGCATGTATCTCTGATATAGATTATATGATAAATGCATACAAAGAATATCAATAGTGCATGCATTGAATGAAGATAATATTGCTATGCAACACTGTAGCTGTTTCTGTACATCTCTGAAAGCTGTTAATAGTTTCTTTATCTCTTTATATTTGATAAGTTAATAATATATTTCAATGCACTCTTTCTTTCATTATCATTATCATCATCATCATCATCATCATTATCACTATCATTATCATCATTATCATCATTATTATTATCATTATTATCATATCATTGCCTGCCTTCACCTTCTCTTCAATGCTTATCAAAATCAATCATATTATTTCTCTTCAAATATTCTGCAGTTCTGTGAACCATCAAGGTGCGTGAGCACTGTCACAGATTGAAGAAAGAGAAGAAGAAGATGTTCAAGTGCAGAGAGACAGATTGTAAGACATGTTATAATGTCTTGAAGAGGCTCTGTAAAAAAGCAGAATGATAACAATTTTAAGTAACACTTCTGATAGATTTAGACTGAACTAAGTATAGAAATAATGTGGATGACACTGCCTGTGAGAGATTGAAAAAGAAGACAGTGAAGAGTCTTATACAGTAGCAGTGAGATCAGAAGAAGTTCTGAGAATGATTTGAGATCAAGATAAAGAGAGAGAGAAAGAAGAAGAGTGTTACTGTAAATAAGCAGTGACAGAAGAAGATTGAGAAGATATTGAAGTAAGAGACAAAGAAGCTAAAACTGATAAGTTTTTTATTAAAAGATAACAATTTTTGATAACACTTCTGTTCTCTAATTAATTAGCAGGAGCTGACAGAGAAGAAGAGAATTGAGACCTTGTTCAGGTCTCAAATACACTTCATGATTCAGAATATTGAGAAGACAGCTCTGCTCTCTGAGCATGTCAATCTGCTTGCTGCTGAGATGGAACCCGAGACAGCAGACCAGAAAATGCAGGATTTTGAGATACAGATTGACCTGGCTGAGAGAGAGCAGTGAAAACCCTTCTCTGAGAAGGCAGTGAAGAGAGATTTTGAGATGATTATCATCTCAGATGAGAAGAAGAAGAAGAAGAAGAAGAAGAAGAAGAAGAAGAATGAGAAGTAAATTATGAAGAATAATAAGAAGAATAAGAAAGAGAAGAAGTAGATTTTTTTCTTTTTATATTAATTAGTTATAAGTTTAAGTTTTTAATTATTAATAATTAAAATTGATTTTGAGTTTTCAAAAATTATTGTACAAGTTGTAATCAAGTCAGGAATGATATATATATATATATATATTTAACTATCATGATTTACAAATCACTATAATGTATAAGTATCAACATTTTTTCAACATTGATATTCACAATATTAATATATTTTTAATAATATCATCTGATAACACAATTTGATAACACTCTCTTTCATAATATTAATATATTTCAAGAAATATAACAGAGATTAATCAAGATTATTTGTTTACTTTTATATATCAATGATATTCAATCTGAGTTAGTACTAAAATTATAACTAAGCTAAGAAACAAGATTATTTTCTCTTATATTAATTCTTCTTACACACATCAGTGATTAGTTATTGAAAATAAATTATCATCTTTCTTAAATTATTATCATGTCTTCTGAATCTACTTCTTTCACTTCTTTTACTTCTATTGAAGATTCATAAACTCTTTAAGAAATCACTGTGAATTACAAAGTCTATATTATTTACAATTCAACACAGAATACTCTCTTTCAATCATGATAAATAATCACTTCATTCTTCACATCTGATTCCAGGTCACAAAATTTATGAAAAACTCAATACAAATATTAAGATAAACTATGAAATAATTATCAACAGGTTGTATTGCAGATTACTGAAGAGTTATCTCTTTACTACAATCACTGTAACTTCATTCAGAAACATTCATCATGAACTGATCATGACTCTGGAGAAATTTTCTGACATCTGAAGTTATCAGAATGCAGACAATAAAAGGAAAATAATCAGAAAATTACTACTGAGCTGGTAAGTTACTCTACTAGATAATGATTTTTGATAACACTAACTTTCTAATTTGAAGGAAATTATGTGAAAACAACTCTATATCAGTACTCTGATTTCATAACTCTCATCTGATAACTTCTGTGAATAATTACTTCACATGTGTATATCTCTGAATCTTTCTCTTTAATCAATTGAAAACTCTGAATTTCAAACACTTCTTCAAATGCTTAATTCAAATCTTCATATTTCACATTGATTCTATCTTCAGTTCAACCTTGAGATACACTACAAAGTTAATATGCAATATCTAAAATCAGAGTTGAAGAATCATTGAAGAGTGTCTCTCACAGTGAATGCATAAACTAGTACAAACAATCTTGCATTTATAAGAGTTATATGTTATTACATTGATAAGAACTGAACTTATCAAGAGACATTAATTGAATTTGAATCATTAATCAGTAGTCATACTGAGAATTATATAACAGAGATATTAATGACTGTGATTAAAAATAACTATTGAGATATTAGTCTCAGTCTTCTTACAATTACAACTGACAATGCTGTGAATAACTACATTATGATAAAGAGCTTGAAGCAAAAATTGGCTTTGTATTTCTGAAATGATAAACAAGGTCATATTTTCTGCATTACTCATGTGATTTAACTTATGATATAAACACTGATAAAGAATCTTAACATTGAGATGAAGAATAATGAGATGACTGATTCTTGAGATAAGAATGAGATGAAAGTAATTACTCAAGTAACTTTTATATTCACTTTATAAAAGATAATATTTTTTGACAACACTTTTTAATATTGCTTTTTAATAACACTTTTTGATAACACTACTGTTAATTTTGAATAGATTGACTAATAATTTAAATATCATAGATTTAAAACATTGCTAATACAATTTGTACCTCTTCTAAATAATAATAATGATTTTATAATATTTAATAAATAAACAAATCAGTCACATCACTGAATATTATACAGAATGTTAGAATATGATAAAGTTTAATATATGAGATAACTGTTCAGACTCTTCAATTATGTCAGATGATTAATCATTGAGTGCAACACTCTGATTAAGAAAAGATTCAGATATTGAAACTTTTAAATATAAAGTAAACTCAGTTGAAATATGTGATTGATTTACTGTTTCAGTTTTATAAGATAATAAAGACAGTCTCAATCACTTGTACATCAATGCTGCAGTCAGTCTGATGAGTGTATAATAGTTTATTTACTTATCTTGAGAAGCAGTTGAATCACTTAAAAAGAAATTCAGTCTGAGATGATGCTATAGTGCAGACTATTATTACTGTAAGAAATAAACTAGTATATTACTACAGTAAAATGAAACAATCTTTTACAGAGTACTATACTATAGCAGCTCTACTAGATCTCTTCTGTTGAGTTAATATCTACACTTCTCAAGATTGAACAGAGAAGAAATGAGACTCATATGTCAAATTAGCCTGAGACTACTACAATGTCAACTATCAGAGATTTGAATGAGCAGATATTTAAAATGTGAAGACAGTGAAATACAATTCTCTAGTAAGTAATGATCTTTGATAACACTTCATATCACATAGAACTATAATACTAACTTTGAAACAGAACTTGTATACATTGATTGCAACTGAAAATCAGACAAAACTACATGCTTATAAAACTGAATTTGACTGCTATCTTTAAGATGATTTGATGAATTTACATGCCAAATCAATTCTAGAGTTATGAAAAATTGTTAAGAGTATATATTTAACTGTTATACTGATGATATATGATATTCTGACAATTTCATTAACAGAGATGAGAATGAAGTGAAAGTTCAACTCAAGTTGAGATATTTATCACTATTACTGAAGACAATTACAAGAAGAAATAATCAAGAAACTCATGATTATAAAATATGAAATTATCAGACAGTTTAATACCTCTGATCACAGTATATCAGAGAAGTGTAGTTTTTATAAGAAAGTGAAGAATAAACTTGTACAAGAATGTATTTAGTTGTTTCATGAACATTATTAATAATCATTATCAAATTCTGATTATATAAGCAATCACTGAATAAACTGAATAAGACTGATTTTAATCTTCAGTCTCAGTCTCATTCTGATTTTGAAAGAATGATCATCTTTTACAGTTTATTCTGAAAAATTACTCTTATTTCACTGTTCTTGAATTAAATCTGGTCATTTTTCACATCATTTCTCTCAGAAATGATTCATTTTCAGATTTTTTTGAGGCTTGGTTCTGGTGGGACTCACGCCAAGAAATGTATGAGACCAGACCAAATGAGACCAAATGTGAAATTCATGGTCCTGCCGGCCAGTCTAACTGACAGAGTATGAGTGTGAAGAATTATTATCATCATCAACTGCAACTGATTCAGTGAAAAGAACATAAGATTGTGAATATATATATGAGTGAGATTGTATTGAATCTGCTATCTTAATATTCATTTATTGAATTCTTGTCAATATCATTCTCTTTTCTTGCTTTTTTTTGTAAATGTGATGTGTTTTCTGCAAGTCTCTTTTTTAAGTGAGTAGTAGTATTATTAATTATCAAGATCTTAAATGTATCAATACTGATAGAATAAGATGATTTTAACTCCTGATGAGTGTATCAAATGAAGCAGTAGTTTAAATAGATTATATTGACAAGGAATTCTGAATTGGCAGTGATTTTGTGTAAAACAGGTCTCATAATCTGTGAAAGGTGTAAAGCTTGTGTGATTGAAAGGTTGCTAGCTTTGTGGGAAGTTATATGGTGGAAGGATTAGTAAGCCAGATCACGTGACCTGACAATTCCACCTTGCCCGCTGCTCTCTGGGATGGAGAAAGAAGCTCACAAAAACACATTCTTTTTGAACTGACTCTGAACTCCATTCAAAAAGAACATGTTTTTGTGAGCTTCCTTCTAACTAATATTAGTTAACTATCTTCACTATGAACACTATTCTACACTATTCCACACTATATTGCCTCTAAAAGTGCTATTCTACATCATCACACACTGTTGAAGTTAAATACTGCTTATTCATAAGATCTTGGCAAAAGATGCAAGTACGGATGCTCAATTCACTGAACACCTGGCCTTTTTCATCTGTACTTTGTAAAAAGCAGCTGTAATATTAGTACAGACGCTCTGTACTTTTTAAAAAAAGTGGAGATCCGTACAAAAAGAACGAGTACACACGGCCGCACCGAACAGGCCCTAAGACAAAATCCCTCCACTCAAAATAGACTGTGAATGCGGCAACAAATCAATAGAAACTTTAACTCTGAGAGCACACTAAATAGATTTATCATGAGTGAGGTTTCCAAGTTCAACCTGGGTGATCGCGTCATCATAAGCCTTGATGATCGGATGGTACAGGCGGTTTGAGTCTTGAGGAGTGCCAACAATAAGACCTTTGTCATTGTAAGGAAAGAGAATGTCTCGTAGGACCTGACAAAGTGATACAATGCCATGAAATTTTGGAGGGAACTCCCTCAAAATGAATCCAAATCCCATGTTTTCAGCTTTGCTCATATGACCAAGTTTGGCATTTGCAATGTCCTCATAGTTACCAGTGTACCAGGCACGAAGTTTACTATCTCTAGAATACTTATCCTTCCCCCAGCCATTACGGGCGCACTGCCAGATAAGCACGTAGAAAAAAGACTCAAGATCATGCCGATAGGTATGATCAATATTAAGCAGCACCTCAATTGCCATGAACTCCATTGTGCCAGTCTGGTGCCGCGCGCCGCTTCGCTCACTCCCAACTTCTTTGGCAAGATCCAGATCAATTAGCATGCCTGAGTGACCATCTGCCTTGCCTGGATCGGTTATTATTATATTGTTCTCTGAAATATCCTGATGAAGGATGTTTCCATCCAGATAAAGAGACCGATGTGCCTTTATTGCATCACGAAGCGCCTTGAGCAGCTCCAAGGGTGATTTGTACTTGTAGATTGGCCGGCCAGCGGGCGATATCACCAGACAGTGGAGGACACGGTTGTCATAGAGTTCCTCATCATTCCTATCAAAGAGGCTCGGCTTGTGTGCCGACTGAATGGAGAAAGCTAATTCATCCTCCTCAGTGTCCCTTGACAGTTGATGGATGGAACGTGATCGTTTGGATGAATGCATCCCTTTTTCCGGAGATCTGCGTTTCTTGGAAGATGATTTTCGACGGATATCTAAGCGACAGGGATCGGTGAGCGGCTGAGATTGATGAAATGAGGAGACTGTGCTGGGGGGAGCACTTTTGAAGCTGTGGTGCTTGTTGCTGAAGGTCAGGCCGCAGCGCATGTCAGCGATACTAGTGATGGTACTGTGGCCAATGATTCTGGCGACCCCCTGGACATTCTTCTGACCCACCAACTCGAGGAGTTCCACCTCTGGCCGCCTCTTGTCCGACACTCATGAGAATTTGGCTACACCCTGTCCATTGTTTGCGAGAAAACATGTGGTTCCGCGACACACAATGGCACGCTGATAGGAAAGCATCTCACCCAGCTGCATCTTCTTTCCCTCTGAGTTCCCAGGCCCTTTGACAGTTATTGATTTGTTGCCATCTTCATCTCTAGCAACAAAGGTGTCCAGTCCCAGCTCTTCATCACTCATCATAGTGTAGCCCACAAGCACCTGAAAGAACCGTCTTGAGTCTGTGTAGACATCAATGATTATTGAGCTGTAGGGGCCCGCGCGGTCGAATACCCACACCTCCATATTTGTCCCACAGACAGTGAATGCATGGACAAACCGCCGAGTGGGCTGTGCAGCAAAGACCTCACGCACAGAGCAACTGATCTGAAGCAGTGTGGCTTTAGTTCTGATCTTCTCCTTAGGTTTTTTGAGCTCACCAACCACCAGAATATCTGTCCAGTTGTGTTTGTTTTGCAAGGGACTCCCACCCTTAGCTTGTAAAAGAAGGTCAACTTGCCGTTCTGCCTTTGAACCAGTAAGATCTGCTTTGCTCACTGTGGAGTAGTAGGTGCTGCGTGATTCTGAGAGAAGGTCTTCTTGAAGATGAAACCACCAGGCAAGGACATCATTCTGTGTAGGAGGATTGGGAAACTGGGCCCAATTACCATCACTGTCTGGGCCTAGCACGCGTTGACAGATGGCATCCACTTTGTTGCTCCAGTCTTTGCCCTCAAAGTACTTGACAAAGAAGCCCTCGACACCTCGAAATGTGCAGCCACTTATCTCCTCAAAGATCCTTGGATTCACCAACTCACGTGTCTGCTCGGAGCCTTTCTGTGATGATGAGGTGGATTTGATCGGCGTTCCTAAGGAAGTGGGAAGTATACTCGCCGGAGGGGTCGTTCGCGAGACGGTGGTGATGAGGTCGAGGACGGCTTTCCAGATGTCAACATCGGTCGCCTTTTGGATGACAAGTTGTACTAGTGTCCGGTAGTGTTCATAGCTAAAGTCGCCATCTTGAAGGCAGGTGAATAATCTTGATAGCTCGGATGCCACATTTTTATTGCCTGTTGGTGAACGTAGGTGGAAAGCTGACTTTTCACCCATCAAGGTGGTGAGGAGTTTCGATGTTGCATCATGGCAGGCTTCGCGGCTTTCTGTCGTGCCATCATTGTAGTGATGCTCTGCGTTTGGAAGAAGCTTTTCTAATCGATCAAGTGAGTCATTCAAAGGATACCTTAAAATCACGGCGTGATCGTCCTCCGAAAGGTCTGCCATTCCTATACGTGTTGATGTTTAAAGATTTCCTGACAATGTATGATGCTCAACGATCGGGCAAAGAGAGAAATAGGTGGTCGGGCGACAGGTTAGGTTAAGGTGGGTGGGTCACCAACTAACTTAAGTTACCTTATTTGTTTGTCTTGTTTGTAACTTGAAGCCGAGCTTCAACCAATAATAATAGATAGCGGGGGCATCCTGACACAGAGGCCTGTAACTGCCCAGGTGTACTCCGGAGATCGGTATCATATTGTTCTTTTCTCCCTGTTTCAATCGTCTCGTGGTCCGCATTTGGGTCTCGCTATACGCTCCGTCATTTCTAAACTACGTCCATTTTTCACTTTTACAGCATTGCTTGTATGCAGTCTCCAGCCTAGTCGTACTTGAAAACTACAGCGCTGTTATAAACACTTTGCATTTGACTAGGTAGTAATATCCATGGATTTTGTGTGAGGTCAGCTGACGTGTAGTCTCGCGCGCCCCCTCTCCTTCCCCTTCATTTTGTTATTTTCATCATCAAGGAGGTCCATGTGAGATTTGATCACCCGCTCCATGTGCTCAATCCCTTGAAACTGATATTCATAAGCTCCCGGAGGGATATCTTCCTGCTTTACAACCGGCTGTTGGCCTCCATTATTCGACAGGGATTTCTGTATGTCCATACTCATAGATCGATGGATGCTGTCAGACAACCACATTTATCTTCCGAAATTCAGCTGTATTCAGTGTTTTGCTTTCACATCGTATTCATAGAATTGCGTGCTCTCCAGTGCAAAAACTCGAGGAATCAATCAAGTATGTTATAAAGCAATATTTCGAATATCCCACTTGCTGTGACGGGTAGCCAAGAGAGGAACTAGCGAATATACGGCAAGATAATTACGACAAGTAATGTGGAGATGATGAAGAATATTCATGGCATGAGGAGAGAGAGGATGGGGCGGGTTTATCTGAAAACGGTGATATCATAGTTATGTACTGTACATTCCAGGGGCTGCAGAGCTTATTTTAACTCTCGATCCAGGAAGCTTCAAAAACCAAGAGAGCAGCAGAATGCCAAATCTATGTACTCCGTATTTCATGCTGAAACCCTCTCCATACCAAGCAATTGCGCATTCCCGAGGCCGTCAGAGACAATCAAACTGTACCAGCCACTTCTCGTATCTATTGTTAGTGGATAGGATTGACGACAAAGAGTTTCTCGCGCTAACCATTCCATTCGCAATCCGAGAAGTCGGACACCCAAATGGGTAATTCATTCTATCAATCCTCATGAGTTAGGAATACCTCACCATTCATCAACAACATGTATCAAAGTCTGGACTTTGAAATATTTAAATATTTCCAGCGCTCCACATTCTTCGTAGGAAAGGTTGCATCTGAACTAATGCTAGGTAGGTACTGCCGGGGATTGATTGAATCAGATAATTATGTCGAATCCAACAAGAGGCATATTTAGCGCCGCGAGCTCCCCCAGAGGTTGTGGACGCAGACGCGGACACGGAAGTGGACTCCGGGGTGTGAGAGGTTTTGCTGGGCAACCTACTCGAGGTCGCGGTCGAGGCCGGGAAATCGTTGCAGACGGACGTGCGAACGAACGCGCACAACTACGAGCTATCTCCCATGAAACGAAAGCAGTCATCCCGGGTGTCCTAGATGCATCCAGGAATAGCCCTTTATTAAGAGAAGGCATTCTTTATCAATCTCCCACCGCCCCCCGCGTCTAGACCAGAAATGGTGCCCCAAGTTCAGCGGGACTAAAATTCAGGTCCTCGATGCGGATACCTTTGATGCCGGCATCCGACTACTAAGTGACAGCAACGGTGATAATAACCAGTCGGGCTCCCCAGTGACAGATGTCACCGTCTTGAACATGGCTAGTGATTTTGTTCCAGGCGGCGGTTGGCTCAGCGGCGCCCGAGCACAGGAAGAAGCATTATGCAGACGCAGCACGCTCACCGCATCCCTTAAACGATATTTCTACCCAACACCTTCTAGTGCCGTGATCTACAGCCCGGTCGTCATTGTATTCAGAAACAATTTAAAGGATGGCCATGGTTTGATGGATTTGTCAGACCCCGATACCCTCCCGCTTGTTAGCGTTATATCCATGGCAGCACTGCGTCGCCCTGAGGTGATCAACGGCGCTAATTCACTGATGAAGTTTGCAAATCCCAACGATCGCGATCGCACCAAGGAGAAGATGCGCGTTATTCTTCGACTCTCTGCGTGGAAGAGGTATCGGAAATTGGTTTTGGGTGCGCTTGGGTGTGTGGCGCCTTTAGAAACCCCCCCGAGGAGGTTGCCAACTGTTGGGCAGAGGTATTTTCGGAGCCTGAGTTCCGCGGGGGTTGGTGGGAGAAGGTAGTGTTTGCTGTGATAGATGAGACGGGCTTAGGAGAGCAGGGGCATGGGAATGTTGGGATATTTTTCCGAAGGTTGGATGGGATTGAGATATGATATGAGTTTCACCTACTCATATGTTCCTGTTTTTGTATTTATGGCCTAACTTACCTCTGGACTGCAGCATGGCAATACATTACGGATTTCAAGAGATTCAACTCAGATTCTATATATGGCTGAGATGGGAAGGTGGGATTTGCCTGTTTCCTTAATAATTATTTGCTTTGCGTTCTTCTTGCCGTGATCCCTAGCCATCCGTCAACTTATTAGTTGCCCGAGTGGCCTAAAGCCTAAGTCGCTCGCCGAGTAAACCGAACCCGCTAGACTAGCGAGCTCCAGTCCCAAGGTTCCCTAAAATTTTTCCAAGCTTGAGGGCCCAGGTTGGATCCAGCTCTCTCCAGCCGTTAAATTCTTTACTATATAATCAGTAACTATCCTTTCCTAGCATCGGGCAATGTTCCAGCTATCAAAAACCAGCAGCACGATAGGGCGAAGAGAAGAACACAACAAATATACGGAATAATAGCTCTTCAAGTCCAGAAAGAATACAGACATAAAACTTGAAATGTGTTCACTGCATTCTATATAATTTATGAGAAAGTCCCAAAGCTGTTCCGATATTAGCTCCCGCTTCGGCTCTTTGGTCCCAGGAGTCGGCCCGGTGCCGGCAACCAATACGCCTATGACGCGGTTCGGCAGCAGCTGGACTCTTTTTCCCAACTCCGAAGCCTGTTATTATTCTGGTTTTTTTTTTTTTTTTTTTTTTTTTTTTTTTTTTTTTTTTTTCTTATTAGTATTATCTATTCCTACTATCACTAGCCACCTTATATCGACTTCATTCACTCCTTCCAAGTTTCTGGCCTCAATTGTTGGCTCCTAGGACATTTCCCGCCCAAGCAACACGCTCAACCAGAATTACATCATTCTCTGCAGCAGTTAGTTAGCTGGTGACATAGCAGCCAGATCCCCGCATCCCCGGCTTCGTCTTGTGCGAAGTGCTCCGAGGCCCTTCTCCTTCCCCCTCTTCTTCTGTCCTCTTTTATAACCCTCGCTTTTCGCTATTGCTCTCCAAATGAACAAACTACTTCGTCCCCTTTACAATAACCCGAGGTCAAGCTACCCTTTCACGATACCTGTGGTTTCTCCCGTCAGGAGGCTAGCAACTATGCACACTGTGCCACAGGTAAGCTTTGGACACGACTAGGCTTTCGGAGTGTTTTGAAAACTCGAGAATTGACGTGCTTGTTTGTGTGTTCATTTTATATAGTTGAAGGATAAATCTCTGTTTATCGAGAAATGCTACGTCAATGGGGAATGGGTTGGGGCTCAGTCTGGGCAGACTTTTGAAGTACATGGTACGTGGAAAATGTACGAGGCTCTGTAATCGATTAAGTAACTGACACACTTCTTTTTTATCCTTTTTATATAGATCCATCCACGGGGAAACTCATTGGGACATGCCCCGAGTTCTCAGTCCAGGATACCCAGAAAGCCATCCATGCCGCCGTCGCCGCTTTCCCATCTTTCCGAAAAACTTTGGCCCGCGAGAGAGCTCGGATGCTTCGAAGATGGTACCAATTAATGATGGACAACGCGGATGATATAGCGACACTAATCACCTGGGAGAACGGGAAACCCATTGCAGACGCCAAGGGAGAGACGAACTACGCTGCCAGTTTCTTCGAGTGGTTCAGTGAGGAGGCCCCACGCATTTGTGGTGATACTATCCCATCATCCGTTCCCGGAAACAGGATTATGACTATGAAGGAACCCGTTGGCGTTTGTGGGTTTATCACGCCCTGGAACTTCCCCGCCGCTATGATTACGAGAAAAATCGGCCCTGCTCTTGCGGCTGGATGTACCGTCGTAGCCAAATCCCCGGGCGAGACCCCGTTTACCGCCAATGCGATCGCAGAATTGGCTCATCGTGCTGGAATCCCCAAGGGTGTCGTCAATATTGTCACCGCCGATAAGAACACGCCTGAAATCGGCCTCTGCCTCACCACGCATCCGGAGATCCGCAAAGTTTCATTTACAGGATCCACGAACGTCGGAAAACTCCTCATGAAGCAATCCTCGTCAACTCTAAAGAAACTATCCTTTGAGCTTGGCGGGAATGCCCCATTCATCGTCTTCGATGATTGCCCAGACCTCGACGCAGCCGTCGCCGGCGCCATTGCATCTAAATTCCGCAGCTCTGGGCAAACTTGCGTCTGTGCTAATCGCATCTACGTGCAAAAGGGTATCTACGACGAGTTCGCAGCTAAGTTCGCCGAGAAGGTTAAGGGGTTCAAGCTCGGCCACGGATTCTCCGAGGGCGTCACGCACGGTCCCGTTATCCACTCCCGCGCCGTCGACAAAGTGTCAGAGCATGTCCTCGACGCTACTGCTCAAGGCGCAACGGTTGTTGTAGGTGGTCAGAAGGCGCCTGATCTCGGCTCGAATTTCTTCCACCCCACTGTTCTCACGGGGATGACCAAGGATATGAAATTGGCATCTGAAGAAACATTCGGGCCTGTGGCAGGTCTCTTCGCGTTTGAGACTGAGAAGGAGGTCGTCGACCTTGCCAATAGAGCTGAGGTCGGGTTGGCTGGGTACTTCTATAGTAAGGATGTGGCACGGATTTTCCGTGTTGCGGAGGCGCTGGAGGTCGGCATGGTTGGAG